TATTTAATGTCCATGTACTCTATGAAATCAAATTAGTTGTACATTTGTCACTTAGCCTTAAACAGCTGATCTACTTTGGTTTAATTATACTGCAATCTAACATTGTGAATTTCAAATTAATAAGTTCTACTTGGGTGGGAAAAATATCTTCACTGAATGTGTAGGAGGCTGTAAAATCACAGTATATATTTTAAAAACAATTTTCTATACTAAAATGTACACAGAAGAAAAAACATCTGAATTTGTTTGATGGGCCTGAGTTCTTGAAAATAAAAAGTATATATATTTTACATATGAATGGAAGTTTACTTCTGGCTTTGTAACTTTCTTGTTTATATATGTTAATATTTTAAACATAAAATAACTAATTCAAGTGGTTCAAAGTGAACTATAACATACATATATAATTACCAAAAAAAAATTCATTGCTGTGGAGTCAATTTTGACTCATAGCAACCCTACAGGACTGAGTAGAACTGCCGGCCCCATAGGGTTTCCAAGAAGCGGCTGGTGGATTTGAACAGCCGACCTCCTGTTTAGCAGCCAAGCTCTTTAACCAGTGCACCACCAGGGCTCCAAATACTTATCCAGGTAAATGAATAACTACACGTAATAAAGAATTTTCCTGGAGTTATATGTATTTATGTCAATTGAAAGCTCCTAACTTGTTAAGTAAGCAAACGCTGTAACAAGAAGATCCAAGGGCAAGTATTTCCAGATGATACTCTCTTGTCTGAGCCTCATCTCTCGTGTCAAGTGTGTATGGAAAGGGAACAGCAGAGATGTCCAAGTCTTTGGATAAATGAAGCATGTAAGTCTCCGGCTCACAGCAAACGCACAGGGCTCCCCGCTGGGTCTGCCAGGTCTTTGGGCTGTAACTGACATTTTTCTGGTAGCTGGGGAGGACGTAATGGCCCCATAGCTGTAGGGTCTGTGCATTCCTGAGCACTTCAAACACACAGCAGAGAGAGACAGGGCCATCTGGAATTACCACTGACCCAATCCTAAGCTGTCTTCCAGAAGCCAATGTGAAGAAACGTTCTAATTATTGACTAAAAAGAGAGTGAGAGAGATAAAGGCAGGCAGACACAGAGACAGAGAAGGGGAGAGCCCTCCTCCCCGCAATCTCACAGAGAGAGCACAATTAGCTCCCTGTTAATCAACAGGCATTAAGTTAGCTAACATGTTCATTTTGATCCTGTTGGCACATATTTTGTTAAGGTCTATTACTTCACTATTTTCAGCTAAAGTATGTCTTTGTTGAAATAATCACTACTCTTGAATAAGTGGTAATGCATTTGGGGCTTTTTGGGGCCTTTTTTTGTTATTCAGGAGTCCCTGGGTGACACCCAGAGGTACCTCAGAAGAAAGACCTGGTAATCTGTTTCCAAAAGGTCACAGCCTTGAAATCCCTATGGAGCACAGTTCTACTGTGCACGCATGGGGTTACCATGAGTCAGAATCGACTTGATGGCAACTGGTTTGGTTTGGTTATTTTGTTATTCAAATTCAACATTTATTTTAATTAATGTAGTAAGCAACACGAGTGTGGTACGTAATTCGAGACAAACCATCTATCTATACTAAGAAGTGAGTTCCCTTCCCTCCCTATCCACATCCCTCAATTTCCTTCCCAGAGGGAACCACTCTTACCAGTTTCTGCCCAATCCTTTCACATCTGCTCTGTACCAACATGAGCATGTGCTTATGTCTCCCTCCTCTCTGTTTTTATCGTCATTACCATGTTCTACACATGGCCTGCACCTGCTTTTTTCACTTCCTCTATTTTGGGGACAGGAGCCCTGGTGGCACTGTGGTGAAGCCATTCAGCTGCTAACCGAAAGGTGGGCGATTTGAACCCACCAGTCGCTCCTTAGGAGAAAGATGTGGCAGTCTGCTTCCGTAAAGATTAAAGCCTTGGAGCCCTATAGGGCAGTTCTTCTCCGTCCTATAGGACACTATGAGTTAGAACCAACTCGGAGTTAACAGGGTTTTGATCTTGGAGACTGTTTCATATCAGCATGTCTAGGGCTGCCCAGTCCCTTTCAATGGGGGTACTGAATTCCAATGAATTGTCATCCCAAACTATGTATTTTATAGGTCCTTATTGAAGGACATCATGCTTGGTAAAGTAGAGGGTCAGAGAAAAAGAGGAAGACCCTCAACGAGATGGACTGACACAATGGCTGCAACAATGGGCTCAAGCATAACAACGATTGTGAGCATGGAGCAGGACCGGGCAGTGTTTTGCTGTGTTGTACATAACTTCACTATGAGTTGTGTTGGAATCGACTCCACGGCACCTAACAACAACAGGTGATGGACATTTGTGTTTTTCTAGTCTCTTGGTGTGGCATTGCACTGGCTATCCTACAAAAGGAAGGTGCGTTAGAGTGCATTTGACACTGAGGAGCAGTTATAACAAGTTCGGTGACCCCACCTGGAATCAAAGCACAAACTAAACTTGTTTTCCCTGTGATTGAAATTTTTGTTCTTTCAAATCAATAAAACCTTTGTTTTCTAGTAGGAACCACAATAGGGAACCTCAATTAAAAAGAAAAGATAAAAGCATAGCTGCTCTGGTTTGGGGGGAAGAGAGGGATACAGGCACTGAAGACTCAGCCTTCTTTCCCCAACCTAATCCTCCTAAAAAAAATAAATTTTCAAAAATAAGTAAGGAAAGAAAGAAAGGACACCCAGATAGAC